ACTGTTGGCTTCTAAAGCATCTCCACACATCAGCTGAACGATCCATTTGCCATTGGCAATTGCATCTGTGACACTTGATGAAATCCCAAGCGCCTTCCACCGTTGGCCTAAACCTGCAGCTCCAGCTATCAAGTAGGAAGCATACGCCGCGTGGATGTGTTCGGTGTTCGCTACCTTCAGAATGGACACTGGACAGGGAAGGCTAAAGCAATGCCAGTTATGGCCATCAGACAAGGGCTTCTCATAGTAGACCACGCAGCTCTGCACAACATTCATCACAGTGTGCACCAGGGATCTGTCACCACGACCAGGACCCTTCAGCCGTGTGTTGGTGTCGTCTGGGACTATTGTGTTGATGATACATTGCACTGCTGTGTCTGGGCTGGCCTGAGAACTTGGGAACAGTGCCTCGAACACTTGTGCAATGGCACGCAGAAGGCTGTAAACGCATCTTGCCCGACCTCTATGGTTGGCCTTTTTTGATCAGGCTGCAGGATGTTTTCGAAACCTTGTGACATTGCATGAGTGTAATGCAATCGTCCGGTCAAAAACTTTTTCTGCAAATCTTGCGCGGCTCTAGGCGTAGCTGAATTGGCAGTAAGGCTAAAAGGTGTTTGAGCACTGGCACTAGCACTTTCTGCTTCTCGCTCTGCTTTCCTTGTAGCACGTGAAGCTGCCAGGGCAATCCGGGCCTTCTCTGTTTGCCTCTTTCGTCTTTGTTTGACTTCACTGTGATCACTTTCATCCCCATCATCTGCCCCATCAAAAAAACTGCTAAGTGGCATGGCCCCGCCACGACGCACAAACAGAAAAGAGGCAAAGCTGATGTACAGTCCTACAGTCAGGCTTAAAAACATGGACTCAACATCTAGTGTATGGATCTGGGCTTGGAGTCCTGGAGGCACAAAGAACAATTGACCACCTACATTTGACGACATCATCCCAACTGAATTACAGAAAATCAAAAAAGATCATTTGGCATTAGAATGTGCTTTAAGTAAACGACAATGATCATTGAATCATTGGTGATAGTATTAGTGATCCTAAGCTGTAATGGCCTGCAGTGTTTGCCAAGTGTGTACTCCACCAAATTAGAATTCTGGTTTTGTTTTGCAATGGTCAAAGTGGAGTAAACGTTGAAGTCTTGAGCATGTGGTGGCGCAGCCCAGCGGTCACAAAACTGAATGCAGTCCGAGTCCGAACCAAAGCTTCGTGCCCAGTGCCCCTCCCCACGGCCCCTCGGAATCAGGCAGCGCCTTGTAGTGGGAAAAGAATGTGCTATTGCTGCCACGGGGAAATGCCCTGTAGATACCTTCCACCTGTGGTGGCGCGAGGCTCCAAGAATGAACTGAGATGAACTACAAGTCTCACAGACATACTCTACACAGACTGTTCCGTACTGTGCTAATTGACCGGGAAACTATCGAGTATGTTAATCACATACAAAAGAACAAATTGTATTATTATTATATTATATAACTTATATAACTAACTGTCTGGAAACAGGGAACCGACAACTGAATCTATCTCCAGAAATCAATTGAATGGAGTGGGAATCGGAATAATGGAAGATAGACAAACAGTTGATAGTAAATAGTAAATAGTAAATAGTTAAATTAATATGATTTATGATTTATGAATCGATGTTGTAAGAACAGAACTAATAGATCGTGATAGATAGTGTTTGATAGTGTGTGTCGTCTGTAATAGGACCTTGCCTATAGTCTAGAGATGTCTGGAGTCTAGTCATGACCATGATTCGACCCAATAATGGAGTGGCTCACTGACAACGAAGAAGTTGGTGCCTCCTCCAGCAAGACGACACCAGGTCTGCGGAGGCCTCACACAACTGCCATCACTGCGTTTGTTTTGGTCTAGTCGTCAGCCGGTTTAAGCCACAACGCCAAGTCCCATACCATTTGTCTCCCTCTCATGATCATTGGAAAGTGCCTCTGAAGGATGATCTGAAAGGTTTGGCCAAGGTGCGCACATGACGGCAGCCAGCAATGAAAGGCTCAGCATCTGGCTCCAGGAATGGGTTGTAGTCAGCAGACAGCCGGCGCTGATTCAGGATGCTGAAGGGACAGCACGGTGGGCCAAAGGCGAAGATATCCTGGAAGAGCGACATTCAATACGACAATGCCAATGCAGCGCAATACTGACTGTCGTGCACAGATCAAAAGCAAAGGTCCTTTGACATGCTCGCAGCTAGAATTAAAAGTATAGATAGATAGAATAGAAGGAAGTGAAGTCTGCAGTCCAGTATCAGTATCATCATCATTTACTGAAGCTCAGGCTATACACAAATGAGTAACTCGTTTGGTATTCACTGTCACACTGACCCTGACCCACGGAAAACTTACATAAATTGTGACTGACTCTGACTCTGACACAAAAAGATCAGAAGAAGATCAATTGACCCAATCCATCCTCTGCGTGTGAATCAAGCGTGCACCGCTGATGATGCATCAGGCATGGCCCTCCAGTCACGCCACAGGCAATGTCGCTGAACATGTGATCAACTCAGCTGACTGACAACCACCAAAACTGTTTTTCCTGCCTAACGCCTAGCACACTCCTTTGTCTCAATCCAACCGTCCAACCTACTCTCACTCCAATGCACTCGAGACTGAACAGAAATCATCAAGGTGTTCTGAATTCTTGTTCCAGCATTGACTGTATTCACTGTATTAACGTGTCATGGACCTTGACCCAGCCATTGCAAACCAAGCAGCGGCTGTCCTTGTAATTGTTCTTGATGAACTTCTGTTTCATGGGGTCGATCTCAAGAACTGTACTCTTGAAGCTGATGCGCGCTCCCAGGTTCTCGAAATACTGGAAGATGTCTCTCCTGATGTGAGGTCACCAGCTCGGAGTGTAACATAAAAAGTTGAATGCAAAACCTGGCTGGCCATGAGAGCCTTTGGGTCACCCACACTGTGTGACATTACAATCACCAGTGGCTGGCTAGTGGTGATTGATTACTTTGAAGCCTTGTAACCTTTTATCAATATTCGATACCTGCCTTGCCCTGGCAACTAGCCAGGTCTGATTCTCCACGCCCAATGCAAGCAAGTTTCATAATGTATGTCCCGGTGGCAGCTCCGGCGCACCCTTCCACGACTTTGATGGTGTATGGGCCGTTCATGAGCCCGGACCTTCAGCATCAGTGCGTCCAAATTTGTATTTGGTTCGTAAATTTGTCACATGAATCAACCCATAGATTCCAGAATCTAAACAGGTCATTCATCAGATTAGAGCAGTTACAGTCACAGTTCAATTCAAAAAATAAATTGAATCGAGTCGAATCTTGAATAATCAAATCAATAACAAAAGTCAATCGAATCATACATCTCATCTCATAATATCATATCATATCCAATACTGAGGGAACGTGTGCTGGTCAAGGCACAAATCGTCCACGTCCAAGTCCAACTCTTTGCACATTTCCTCCACCCAGTTCAGAAACTGCAGCTTCTCTGACTCCAGTGGTGACCAGGAATGGTCGATCCTCAGTTTACCAGAGATTTGAAGTGAGCCAAGCCAATACCGTACAGTAGTCACAGCCCACTGTCACATACTGGTTGTCCTGCACATTACGGAATCTATCTTGGTGTTTGCACGTTGGTAGATGACCTTACCTCTCTCACCTTCTGAATGTCCACTCTCAGAGCACCCTCTTTGAGTTTGGTGTGAGCATTTGGTTTGCCCTGTCCTTCCTTCCTTTAAACTTTAAACTTTTGTTCCCAATCCATGGTCGCCTCAAAACTTGCTGATGATTTCCTCACCAAAGTGTCGGAAGGACAGGTTTCACTTCTTCTACCTCCCCGAAGATCTGGGACATGACTGAAGCAGGACTGTCTCCTCCATCATCTGAAGCCCCATCTTCCAACAGAAAGCGCCCCATGCGCCGCAACATTGACATGTTGTCAACACAAAAACCACCAAACTGCAAACCTTCCCCTCTGGAGCCAGAACAGCCATGGCGCGAGTGGTGGTGGTGGTGGTGGAGCAGGTGGCAAACGCAGTTTCAATGGC